CTCACGGCAGCCTTTCACATATCGATGTACACTAGTTGATAGTCGCGGCCAGTAATACTGTTGGCGTACTCGGGCGAGAGTTCGCGAATAGCCCAAATGTCCTGACGTGGGCTCGTCGTGGCACGCCAGAAGGATTTCATCACGCATGTCGGTAGGAACAACGAGTAGGAAAGCCTTGTCGCTACCACGGGCGTTTTTCTTGTAAAGAATGCCTCTTCTTAGACAAAAAGAGGACAGTTCGCGAGCAATGTGTTGAGGGATCTTAGAGTTGCGGCCTTCCAGGGAATCAATGAATGGGCGTAATTCATCGTCTGCCCGCTGCTTTGACATAAATTCGGAGTCACTAACTGCTCCGAGAAAGGCATCTTCATCTTCGGAGCCCCTGACAGCGTTCCCCACAGGTGCTCGAGAAAGCGCGTCGGCGTCTTCGTGTTTGCGCCCTGACCTGTACACAATCGTAATGTCAAACTCCTGCAAACGCAAACTCCACCGTGCGAGACGGCCGGATGGATCTCTGAGATTTGCCAGCCAGCAGAGCGAGTGGTGGTCAGTCACCACTTTGAAGGGACGACCGTAGAGGTAAGGCCGAAATTTGGTCGTCGCCCACACGACTGCGAGGCATTCTTTTTCTGACGTAGAATAGTTGGTCTCCGCTCGAGAAAGAGTACGACTGGCGTAAGCTATCACATGCTCAACGCCGCCGTGTCGTTGTACAAGGACAGCACCAAGTCCGACGTTGCTGGCATCTGTATGAATTTCTGTAGCAGCGTCCTCATCAAAATGGGCAAGAACAGGGGCTGTTTGCATTCTCTGTCGTAACTCTGCGAACGCTGTATCTTGTTCTACGCCCCAAGTAAAGGGTACGTCATCTCGGGTGAGTCGCGTAAGAGGTTCAGCTATCTTAGAGAAGTTGGCGATAAATCGGCGATAATACGCGCACAAGCCGAGGAAACGGCGTACTGCTCTTTTATCTGATGGGACAGGGAAGGCGGCGACAGCAGCAGTTTTGTCTGGATCAGGTCGCACTCCATCTGCGCTAATGACATGTCCCAGAAATTTCAGCTCTTCATAGCCGAAATGGCATTTTTTGGGTTTCAGCGTAAGTTCAGCTGTGCGAATGGCTTCCAGAACCTTTCTCAGACGCTTCAGATGTTCTTCAAAGCTCTCGGAAAAGATGACCACATCATCGAGGTAGACAAGGCAGCTTTGCCACTTCAAGCCAGCGAGAACTGTGTCCATCATCCTCTGAAAAGTGGCTGGTGCAGAACAGAGGCCGAAGGGAAGAACTCGGAATTCGTAAAGTCCGTCTGGAGTCACAAACGCGGTTTTTTCTCGGTCTCGTTCATCCACTTCAATTTGCCAATAGCCACTCTTTAGATCGATGGACGAAAAATACTTCGCACGTCGTAACCTGTCGAGGGAGTCGTCTACTCGTGGAAGCGGGTAGACGTCCTTTTTTGTGACGCTATTAAGCTTCCTGTAGTCAATACAGAATCGCAGCGTTCCGTCTTTTTTCTTTACTAGAACGACTGGTGAGGACCAAGCGCTGCTGGATGGTTGAATAATCCCGTCATCGAGCATTTCTTTTACTTGTGTCTGAATAGCCTCGCGTTCTTCGGCAGAAACGCGATAAGGCTGCTGCCGGATGGGGCGGACGTCATCGTCGATAATAATTCGATGCTTCGTGAGGTGAGTTTGACGGACTTTAGAAGAAGAGGCGAAGCAAGATCTAAACTCCCTTAAAAGGTCGTGAAGTGCAGCCTTTCTCTCGTCTGACAGCTTCGAATTGATGTCGATGTGGTCTAGAAATTCCTTATCCTCATGCGTTTCCTCGGACGCGAAGCACTCCGTGACGTCGGCAACAGGTTCTCCATAGGCTAGGGTGGTTCCACGGAAAAGATGCCGGTGCTCGTAATTGAAGTTCGTAGCTAGTATCGTTGACTGTCCGTCACGGACGCGCACTACACTTCGGGCGGCGCATACACCTTGGAGCAGCAGAAGTGATAAGTTGCTTTCAGCCACCACGTCGCCGTCTTGGAAGTCTTCACAAGTGACTTCGATGGGAACAGTTGCTCGAGGTGGCAGCGTCACACTGTCGTCAGCAACACGCAGCGCAAGTCTACGGCAGTTATCAGCGTCTCGATCTGTTGCGCCTTGAGTCGAGAAGGTCACGATGCGCTCACGGAGATTTATGATGGCACCGTATTCCCGAAGGAAGTCCATGCCGATAATCAGCTGACGCTAACAGTCGGGGAGAACGAGGCAGCTGAGCACAAACGTTGACGCACGAATTTTCACTCTTGCGGTACAGCGACCCAGCGGTGTTACAACGTGTCCTCCAGCTGTTCGAATTCGCGTTCCATTCCACGGCGTGATCACTTTTCTGAGATCTCTCGCTAGCCTCCCGCTGATGATCGAATAGTCTGCACCAGTGTCTACCAATGCACTGACCTGAAGACCGTCAACCAGCACAGGTATGTCGAGCGACACGCGGTAACTAAGTTCAGATGCGGATGTCGGCGTTTCTTCGGCACTGCGATTATTCTCTGACGAAATGCCTTCGGCGTTGCGTGCAAGCATCGATGGGAGGTCTTCCGCACTTTGAGTCCCAGCGACCTTGCCCCCGAAGGCTGCTGCCTTCAGTTTTCCCGACGAGGGCTCGGGGAGCGTTCCCGTGCCGTCACCCCGAAGCGTGGCCCAGTGGCTGCGGGTCTCCTCGGAGATGGTGACCGCGATTGCCGTCGTGTAAAGGGTGCACGCTGTTGCGCGAGATATTCTTCGATATCCCTTGGCCTTTGACCAATTCGGGGACGAGGGGAATTGACGGAAAATCCGCGCAGTCCAAGTTGCCGGTATGGGCATTCGCGGTAAATGTGACCAGCCTCACCGCAATGATAGCAGAGGGGTCGTCTGTCTGGCGTACGCCAGAGATCAGACTTGCGCGTCGGTGTACGGCGACTATCGATGTCCAAATCAGCGTGCGCTGACTGAATCGCGACTGACGGCATCATTGTCTGGATCGGGACGTATGGCATTGTCTGGATCGGGACGTGCGGCACTGTCTGGATCGGGACGTGCGGCACTGGCTGGATCGGGACTCCTTGACCCGAAAGAGGAGTGGCAGATCGCAAGGCTTCCGCGTACGTACGACGGCGACTGTCAGTAGACACAGGAGCCGTTTCCAGATCAACCGACGTGGGCGGAAAACGATGGGCGTGCAGCACCTGCTGGACCTCGTCGCGGATGACACTGGTGATAGACCCAACATCGATTTGCCTTGTCCCGTACATCTTTTCCATTTCTTCCCGGACGACAGATCGAATGATCTCGCGAATCCATTCGGGGCTCTTGCTCCCAGGGGTGGCGAAAATCTCGGGAGTTGAGGCAGCATTCACTTGACGGTCAAACTGGGCAGACCGTTGGTGCAGTACTCGTTCCATTGTTGCCGCTTCAGTAAGGAACTCAGCAACACTTTTGGGGGGACTACGCACCAAACCAGCAAAAAGTTGTTCCTTCACACCACGCATGAGGTGGCGCAACTTTTTTTCTTCTGCCATAGCAGGATCCGCTCGCTTGAAAAGCCGTGTCATGTCCTCGACGAACATCGAGACGGTCTCGTTGGGCATCTGGAGGCGTGATTGAAGTGCACGCTCCGCCCGTTCGCGGCGGTCGGGACTCCTGTAGGTCTCCAGGAGGCGACGCTGGAACTCGCGCCAAGATGTCAGAACATCATCCCTGTTCAAAAACCACGTCTTGGCACCGTCTTTTAGGCACGTGTACACGTTCCGGAGCTTCGCGGCATCATCCCAGTAATTGATCGCTGCGACACGTTCGAACTCACTCAGCCAGTCGTCAACATCTTCATGCTGCGCTCCGTGAAAGGGGCTAGGCATGAGCGGGTTCTGGACGGTGCAGTAGATCGGCGTGGAAGGTGTCGGAGCTTGCATGGGATCTTGTGTCGAAGTCATAGTCGCTGCGTCAGTGGTAGGTGTCTCAGGCGGTAGGCCTCGTTGGCGGCGGCTTACTCTATGAACAGGAGTGTCCACGGGTGCAGGGCTTGTGTTCCGGCTGCTGGACGGGGTCTTGGGCATCGGGTGGATTGCGAGACGTTGTACCCAGCACCTCCACCAGTCTTGTCACGTTACTCTCGACAAACTTGATAAAAAATGGGCTCGTTTAGTCGACTACTCAAGCAGCGGCTCAGAGAGATCGTCTTTGTCTTCTTTCCTCTTCGATCTCACCCAAGCAAACCATGTGGCAATATATACAGCACGACGGCGCCTGCACTGTCAGCTGTTGAATGTTCTCGAAGCGCGACGCCACATGCGCGTCCACTGGAGAATCAGGAGAATTGTAGATGTCGAACGCGGTGTGTAGAGGAGAAAGGGTGCACAGATGGTGGAGGAGTGAAGCGCGCGCGGTGTGTAGAGGAGGAAGGGATGCACAGATGGTGGAAGAGTGGGCGACGGCGCGACGGCGCATGCGCGCGCGTCAGCTGTCGAATGTTCGAGAAGCGGTGCGGACGGCGCGGACGGCGCGGACGGCGCACTACAGGGCGCGAGTATAAGATGCTCCGCATCTAAAAGAATCTCACTGGATTGATGATAATGAACAGATGAAGAGGACAAATGCCGTGAATATTGCTCTCAAAATATAATATCAGTAACTACTGGGGCTTTACCTTCCGAAACCACGATACCATTTGAGGGACGCCATAGTGGAGAGCTTCGGCTATGATGACCATGTGGTTCTCTCTAACATGTTCCTAAATCTGAGTACGCACGCCGTCAGTTTTCCACCTATAAGTGGGCATACTTACCGAAACTTACATGGCTGTGGGTGCCTGATGTACTTAGAGTAAACGTATAGCCTCAAATAATAATAATTATTGGAGTGAACAGTGTTGCCTTATCTGTTACATCAGTAAAGTTGTAGCTTAAATATCCGTAATTAGTGCACATTTTACGCCTCAGTCAAAATGTAAATAACCGTCCACTCACAAACGCTACGAGGACGGCCAAGTACTCCAGAAGTTCCTCTTTGTTGTAACAAAATGACCTAAAGAATGCGGAGTCCACGGCGATGCGGGTCTCGCAGGTGGCAATCACAGGGTCTGTAAACAAAAATGTTGAGTCGAAAAGGTACACTATGTTGGTCGTTTAAATAATAATGGTTGCCAGAAGGAGAAAAGAAGTGGAGAGAATCATTGTTGTTGGACTCGGGAGAATTTGAAAATTTTCATATTCCGGTAAATTCTATGAACTTCCTGAAGAAATCGTGGACGTATTTATGAGCCACCAGGCATACTTCGTGGGCACAAATTTTTATTTTTGAGGGATATCACATTAAAGTTTACATATAAATTGAGATAAAAAAACCAGCGCGTTGTATAACTTAATAGCTGCCGATGAGGAGCACAATGAAGAGCAACGTTTGCAGAATAGAACGAGAAGACGTACATTCAGAAAGGTGTCTCAACTGGATCTTTCATAGCCCCGTTTCTGAGTGACTTGGTCTTAGCAAAATTTGATGGTGCACTGAATGTGAAGCTTGGTGAACTACCTGCTGGAAGAACCTTTCGTTATGTGGATGATTATCTGATAATTTTGAACGGTGATTTAGATATATTTCATTCCAAGGTCATGCAGGTGTTGCAAACCTTTCGTCTCTGCCTCTGTACGCTCGTGGTGAAGCACAAAACGCCGGAAAGGGACAGCATCCACTTTCTTGACATAAAAAAAAAATTATTTGGAGTGCCACCCGTGCTGGTGTTACGATCCTCGTTTCCAAAAGCCTGTTCTGCCGTTCTCGTCTGCACTTAGCAAATTAGTAAAAGAGCCATGGTTCAGTCATGTTTCCAAAACGCCTTAGAGAGGTCCTGCCACCATATCTTGGATGCCAGTCTTCTTTGCCCTTTGCTCATTTCTGTGGCGGAGGCAATGCACAGGAAAATGAAACGTATGGGCATTGACGGTAACAGAGAGGGTACCACAGCGGAAAAGCGGGAAAAAGTGGCAGTCATTCCGTATGTGCACTATGTGTCACACCGCCTAAAGAAAATAGGACAACGCTTTAACGTGAAGGTGGTCTTCAGTGCCCCTGACAAGTTGTCCCAGTTGGCAAACATGACCTGCCCCGTAAAGAGAAACGGAAAGCAGTGCATGGCTAGGCACAGGATGCAGTTTGTCGAATGTGCGCAAGGCGTGGTGTACAGGACCCCAAATGTCTTGTGGAGCATGTTACGTGGGCCAGACTGGCAGATGCCTAAAAGAACGCCTACGGGAACATGCCAATAATCGTAATAACAAAGATGGCTTCCTGGCGCAACTCGTGAGCACGTGTGGATGTACTCTGCTGTTCGAAAAGACAACAGTTCTCGGTAAGATTAAAGAAGAACACGAGCGTATAATCTATGAGCCTGCTAAGATGGCGTTAGAACAAAGCGGATGCGTTAGCAAGCCATCAGTTGCTCTATTAGAAAGAGAGATATGCTTTTTGAGTTGCGAGGGTCGGCGTATCTGGCACATTGATTGTCGATGATATTTCGTATCTTTAAATCTGTCATTTTTACTGCTTTTTATGTTTATTCGGGTGTATTAACAGCAGTCTTGTCAATAAAATTTTAGTGGGACATCACTTGTACTATCCTCTTCTGTCCACCGTGTACTTTTTTTTCGTGCTGGTAAACCTCAACTTTTCTTTACGCTTTCATAACAACATAAAATAATTCATCTCGAAAACAAGCGCTTTAGCTACTATCTAGGAAGCTGACCTAGGAGATGAAACCAGCGTATACTTTGTAGATCCACACAACTTACAAGGTGACGATCTAGATCTTGCTTCGAGTACTTTGTTTTCCGTCTTGTTAAGAATATCAGACTTCGTAGATCTGGAGTACTGACCAAGACCTGTGGCGAAAATATGTTAATATTCACATTACTTGGAAATTCAAAGCTAAAGTTACTTGTGCGTTAACATCGCTTTTTCGTGAATTTGCCTTTCGTTAAAAAAAAACAGACGTCTTCAAAGTTTTAGGAAAAAACGTAAAATGTTTGAGGGCTGCTGATATGCGAAGTTACGGTTGGTTTTACATACTGATAATAAATTTTTAAGTTTATAGCTTTAGAACATATAAATCTTGGGAACTAACACGAAAACTAAGGCGCTCAATTTGAAAAGCTCGTGGGAGTATACTTATGAAGATTGTAGGTGTTACAGCACTGCCGGCATTTGCGAAAATCAACGACAAGTTTTATCTGGATAACTGAGAATACAGGCAGCCTGTAGTGTGAATTCAGGGCTTGTTATAACTTAAGACGCGACACTTGAACAATGATTCCATAATCAGTTGCGTTGCATATGCATGTGTAATATAAGCAAGCATGTGTTTGTGTGTGTATATATGTATGCGTGCATCTGTGTGTGTGTGTGTGCGCGTGCATCTGTGTGTGCGTGTGCGTGTGCGCGTGCATCTGCGTGTGCGTGTGCGTGTGTGCGTGTGCGTGTGCGTGTGCGTGTGCGTGTGCGCGTGTGCGTGTGCGTGTGTGTGTGTGTGTGTGTGTGTGTGTGTGTGTGTGTGTGTGTGTGTGTGTGTGTGTGTGTGTGTGTGTGTGTGTGTGTGCGTGCATCTTTGTGTGTGTGCGCGTGCATCTGTGTGTGTGCGCGCGTGCATCTGTGTGTGTGTGTGTGTGTGTATGTGTGCGTGCATCTGTGTGTGTGTGTGTGTGCGTGCGTGTGTCAAATAATGCAGGCTGGTTCAACGATCCTAACATGAAGTTAATAAATTATCAAGTGTTCTTGTTTGTCAAACGCGTGATTCATTTTTGAGGAATATCAGTCCATCTGCTTATCTAGTATATACAGGGTGTTCCAAATGTCTTGCAGCACGACCTAAAAAGCGGGGAACTGCGTGAGGCGAAGCAAACCCAGTACATACTGTTCCTAGTACACTAAAGCAGCCACTTAAAATTTTGATTCAATCAGAAGTCGTTGTTTGATTATAATTATATTTGTAAATCCTCGAGCATTCACCTAATTATCAAAATGTCAATAAGGCCCGCGCATTGAAATTGCGTCTTATTGTGGCACTTTTAACAATGTACTAATTTACATGCTTGACAAACAGAGTGTTTTCTTGTTCAATTCTTGTCTTTCTCGCTTACTTTTCTCGCTCTCCAATTTTGCTGCCCCAGTTTGCAACAAAAAAAGCACATAAAAAGATCTTCAGATGAGATGGTGAACGACAACGTACCTTCTAGACGGGCTTCTAATGAAATTTCGTTGTCAGATTTCCTCTGTTCTAAAGGCAGAATCTCATGTTTAATGCTGCCCCTGGGATGATACTGTGAGGTAGGTGAGGGCTGTATTCTCTCGGTAGGACTCAGAATTCCGACCTTGACAGAACAAAAACAAGAATGCAGTGCGTTTTCACCCCAAATGTGTTAGAGATCAAGAATGTAAAAACTGCTACTGTTAGTTGGCTGAAAACTCCATAACAATACTTTTTGAACTATATCAATTGCTTCTCTGACGTCCCTGCCATCGGACAAAAACAATCTCATGCAGACGACAATTTCACTGCGTACAGTATGCGAAGATGACAAAGACCACCATAAGGATGGTCTCGATACTTGTCCTTTTTTTTTCAAAGTTTACGCAAGCAAAGCTTGTTATTATTGCTAACTCCCGGAGAACGTTCGGGGCGTGTATTCTGGGAAGTGTCTCAGTGCTTGGCCGCAGAAGAAAATGTCAGCCAATGATGCTGCAGAATACATCATTAGCGAAGGCGGTCGGCCAATCACAAAGGTAACTTGCGAATAATTAAAAATAACCGTTACGGTTACAAAGTGCTTGATTGGGCTGGTTTGTGCTGCATGGTAGACGAAGAAAGTTCGTAACAGCACAAACGACTGGAGGGGATAGAATAGTCGATAACAGAGTGCTCTGTTCTCGTCTCTTCTATCCCCTCCTGTCGTTTGCACTGTTAAGCACTTTCTTCGTCAACTGTAACGGTGGTCTAGCGGTTATATTGCTCGAATGCTGAGCCGTGGGTCGTGGCGGATGCATTTTCTGGGGAGGCGAAAATGCTTCAGGCCCGTCTACTTGGAGTTAAGTGACGTTAGGGAACCCCAAGTGATCTAAATTTTCACAGCCCACCCGTAAGGCTTCTTTCATAATCATACGGTGGTTTTGGGACGTTACACCCCAATTAATAATATAATATATTAATATTATTATGGATAATAAAAAGCGCAAGTCTTCCTGAGAGGGCGAAGCAATGAACAGGATAGCAACAAATGGTATTATACGAAGTAAGGCGCATCACTAACTCCATTATTATACAACCTGGCATAACCCAGCAAAGCTCTCACGTATAGAAAACGTGGCCACTGCAGCGAGCGATCGATCAGATCAAGAAAAACTGTGGGCTAATAACAAAGCATGTGCAAAAAAACAGCCGCGTTATTTAACTACGGAAACCAGTCATAGTTATGGAAATTCCAGCCATCGATGACAAAGTGTGGGATGCCTCCCTTAAGCTGCCAAAAACCAAACGACTTGACATATTCACTAATTGTTTAGCGGCTATCCAAGAACTAAAAACGTTCACAAGCAGATTGAGTTCGGCGGGATCATGCCTAGCATGAATCGTAATATAGAGAGTAGCGTCAGAGTATACATTAAGTTCAAGGTCATGCTACGACCCCTGCCAATATTACTGCTGCCGACCCGCAGGCACACTGCCCTCCTAATACAGATGTCTCATCTATTATTCTTTCACCTCAAAACCTAAACTCACTCGGTGCACGTAAAATTGTTCTCCGGCAGGATACACACACCCTTATCCCACCATGTGTCTACTCTCTCTCCTTCACCTTATTAGGCAGTAGGAAGTTGTGTTTACGACGCTTCTTGCAGAGGTGGACCTTACACCAGGTCCTGTCTCAATGTGCAACTGGTCAAAATTTCCAATGGAAGTGAGCGCTACGTGTGCTTATCACTCTACTGCAGCAATTCAAAATGATGCATACATTTTTATCTGGACATGCCAAGGGCTACTGTCACCACACTCCTGTCACCTCGTGCAAGCCAGTCTTTGCTACAGGGACACAAATAGTTATGGCGGCTCGATACATGACAATAAATTCCTTAATACACTGTTTCACTTCATACATCACCGGCCTAACGGCGCACATTTATTACGCATATGCACACAAAGTTATATACAAGTTATATACATTGAAGGCAAGTCTTTGTCGCAATAACAAAATACAAAATCCAGGTCATGTTTGTGCTGGCCCTTCTTTTGCGTAGACACTGAAGCTAAACAGCAACATATAGAGTAATATAAGCAATGACGAGTTATATACGCACAAGTCGAAGTCCCCGGGCCCGCTTAAGCATGACGGCGGCACCTGCTTGCGGGTCGTGGTAGAGGTTCCGTTCCATTCCTGATCCGTTCATCTGCAGAAAAGCGGGATATATTGGTAACACTGGTATGTCATAACATAAACTTGTTTGTGAAGCAAGATTCTCTGCGACTTGAGGGGGGATCGTAAATCAGTGTTCCGCCTCTTTGTGCGACTAATATCATACTTCTGAAGTATCACATTTAGGCTGTTTTGTACATTGGTTATAAAATTTCGGGAATTCCGAGTTCCAAATGAGACCTTGACGGACTCTAGAAATAAGCGAAATAACCAAAATTTAACAATTGGAATGTTATACAATTAGAATGTTCAACAAGTAGGAGGTACTCTGCGAACGAATGAAGCGTGGGGGAGGGGGTAAGGTATTTAAAAAATTCGATAATACCATTGACCGCGACGTTGACCTTAAAAGGGCAATGACATCTTTATTTGCATTGCAGCAGCCCATTCTCCAACTTGGCGGGCGCCATTCCTGTTATTTATGAACAATAACTACTGCAGAATACAGTGACATCATTTTACACGTGCGACAACCTCAAGTTGACTCTCCATACAAACGAGAAGAAATTTGAGCCACATGCCGGCAGTGTTCCTTTAATAATAATAATAATAATAATAATAATATAATAATAATAATAATAATAATAATAATAATAGGTAGGGTGTTTCGTCCAAAAACAGGTATGATTATGAGAGACGCCGTAGAGGAGGCTTCCGGTAGTTTCGACCACCTGGAGTTCTTTGACGTGCCCTGACGTCGCATAGTACTTCGGCCTCTACGCATTTCACCTCCATCCAAATGTGACCGCCGCGGCCGAGCACCTTTTATCCACTGCTCCACGGCGGCGCACCGTGTTCCTTGGACGATAGTGCTCGATGTTGTCAAATGTCCCTTGACAGCTCTGAACTTTCTAGCCAGCTCAAGAATGTTTTGATACCTGCTACGCACTGCTCCAGCCTTGCACGTCGCCCAAAGTGTAGTTCCTGCCACGACTTCAGCGCCTATGTAAGCTTGATTGGCGTTTACATGTATTGAAATTTCACGCATAGTCTCGTAGACTATTGAAAGACTATAGTCTTACGTAGTGAAATGTTCTCCGATTATCTTCCAACGTTGCGACTTCGAGTCTTTCCAGGAACACGGACGCCTTTCTCAGAGTCAAAGTCTGACCAGAACGAATGGCAACGAGCAGTTGTCCACTGTCACTTCGTTCGGCTATGATCTCAGGGAACACGACTGTCGTCACTGGAGACCCTGTGCAAAAGAAACTGGTGAGCAGCTCAGTTTAAGTTCACATTCTCACATTTACTGTGCCTGATATGTCAATAATTATAAAGAGACCATAATAAACGTCCTCACTGAGTCATCACATACACGGCCAAGTTGAAAATCTTTTTAACAAAAAATAGATTTTCTTTTGTTTATCTAAGTGTCCGATTGATTGGAGAACGTCTGGAATAAAATTTCTGCTCTTGCGTTGTCGTTTTTTTTTTTCAAGGTGTGGTAATTGAGGTAACGTAAATGCAGCCGGCTTATGAGGAAGAAACGCTGAAAGAAGTGCTTTCTTCCACAGTACTATTGTATTGTATACTTTCTTTTACATTGCTACAGTGACGAATTCTCGATTGCAAGTTAAGTTACTGAGCCGAAAACGTAGAAATCTAATCGTCAAACCTGAAGAAATAATTGATATTAGCCAACCAGAACAGGCCAGAGAAAGAGGAACCGAAATTCAATCATTTAGTCATAAGGTGGCTCTTCACTATAAAGAAAGAGTTTCGAAATAGCTAAAAAAACATTTTTTCTCAAAACGTTTAAGATACCTGGGCCCATCATATTAAGGTCTCAACCCTGGACCTGAAAAATATTCACCCACAGTGCACAGTAACTATGACGTGTCCTTAATGATATAGTTATTATTGTGCAACGCTTGGTGAAATGTTGGGAGTGTTTCAACGACGTGTTATTACAAATATAATGTAGTAGACAAAATTTGGCGGGTCTCCTTTTTGTACGTGAAAAGCCTTTAAAAATGTGGTCGTCAGTGTGCATGGGCTTTATATGATGTTTTCTGTTTACAGAAATTTTGCACTAGACCCTGTATTTTGTAAGGTGCCTTGAATTACCAGATTACCAATTACCACCACCAGCAGCAGCAGCTGCTGCTAATGATTAACTCATAACCCATTTAACTTGCTCAGTTTCTCTGTTAAATAAGTTATTCTTTCAACTTCGTATCAAATATTTTGATGCTAAAAAGTGCATATGGATTGAAAAAAAAATTGAAGCGTATATAGGTCAAATTCGCGGAACGAAGTTTATGATCTACAGCCCATTCATCTCTTTGGCGATGGAAACGCTCGTGCCAAATGAGATCACGGACATAAGAGTGAACGCCAGAAAGAATATACTGGCTGTGGACGTTTTGCACGCAAGTGCGTTGGGCGTTCTGCGCAGTGTAACTGACTTGGACGGCAACCAGGTGCGCTCTCATGTTCCCTTGGGATGTGATGTAGTAACCGGCGTGATCTACGACATAGATGTGGCTATTTCCAATAAGGACTTACAACTTCTTGTCAAGTCAACAACTGATACTCCAATTGTTGATGTCACCCGGCTAGGCAAGTCTCGCTGTGTGAAGATTGCGTTTAAGAGCACATCACTCCCCTCTCATGTGAAGGTAGGGTACTTCAGACATGCTGTGCGGCCTTTCATTCCAAAGCCTCTCCAGTGCCGTAAATGCATGAAACTTGGACATGTGAGCAGCGTCTGCGAGAATTCGGTGGTATGCCACCGCTGCGCCGAGCCCCATGAAGCGGATAAGTGCGTCGCAACTGTCAAGAAATTCTCTAATTGCAATGAATCCCATGAAGCCACGTCGAAGGACTGCCCGCGGATTCAGAAGGAAATTGCCATCTTGAAGGAGATGGTGCGCGATCACTCATCTCATCGAGAAGCCGCAGCTAAAGTCAGAAGGCGTCGTTCACGTCGACGTCGGTCTTCAAGGACGCCCGCTACCTCCTCGACACGTTTGCCAGATCTCTCATCAGTACCACCTCTTTGCCTCCCAGACCACATGCCGTGGGAAAGGCTGTAAAGGACAAAGCCAGTGAGCATACCCGAACTGCGACAGAGTGGCCTGCACTTCAAAGGGAAGCAGAATCAAGCGAACCGAAGGAGTTTCATGACGGGCAGTCCGCGATCCCGGTTCGAGATCTTTCCAACCAAGACAGGCAAGTGACTGCAATCGCGCAATCAATAATTGACACGATTCGCACGCTACTGAGCAGCATACAATCTCCGTCTGCTAAGAGTGCACTGCAAGTACTGGATGCACTGAATCCAGTTCTTGCTAACGTCGTCTAAGCACAATGGCTCAACAAAATCTCATCTTCCGCACTGAAGTTAAATGTGCGTCGATTTTTCAGTGGAATTCCAGAGGCATGAAGTCCCGTATCTCGGACTTTCGCCAATTTGTTCGGGCCAATCAATTCCCTATACTTGTCATATGTGAACCAAACGTATCAACGCCTTATAGATTGTCCGGTTATGAAGCTTTTTGTTCAACCGCTTGCGAAGAACGAAGCAAAATAATTGTTTACGTTCACACAGACTTGACTTATCTTTCGCACCCAATAAGTTCAAATGACGACAATCAGTACGTGTGTCTTCGTGTGAAGAAGAATGCAGTTTCGTTCACGCTCATTGGTGGATATATACCTCCGTCATCGCGATTTGACTGCGACAAATTAAAAGACATCCTAATGAGGACCGATGGGCCTTGGATCATCACCGGTGACTTCAACGCCCATCACATGCTTTGGGGGAGCACTAGGATGAATGCCAGGGGCCGGAACATTGTTAAGTTCGCTTCCGATTACGACCTTTCCATCATGAACGATGGTACCCCCACATATCTGCGGGGTCTCACGTATGGCAGTTGCCTTGACCTGACATTGTTGTCACGGTGCTTCTCTCACAAAGTTAAATGGTTTTGCGATATTGAGACTCATGGGAGTGATCACATACCCACCTACGTGACGATCGATGGTATCATAAAAAATTTCTCTTCCGGTGTTGTAATTGGCACTGACTGGTCGATGTTTACATCGCGTGTTGAGGACGCTTGCCAAGAAGGCCTCGCCTGCAGCCTGGAAAATACCATAGAGGAAGCTATGCAAGTGTCCAAATGTAAATTACCATTTTCGTCTAAAATAACACAGTTTGACATTGAACTGGAACGATTACGAGCTATACGAAGGCGTGCTGAACGACGATACAGACGCACAAGATCAATTTACGATCTGAGGGAAGCAAGGCGGCTCCAGAAAAAGATTCAACGACGCATATACAAGCTGGAGAGCGAACGCTGGAAAGCATTCTGCGAATCTCTACACCCTCATAAACCGCTGTCATATATCTGGAGAACAGTTCGTGGTCTTCGCTCCTCTCCGCAACAACGGCACCATTTTAAAGCTTTGGCACTCCATCATGAAAAAACAGAACTCGAGGTGGCTGAAGAATTTTGCACGAGAGTTGCCGGGAATATTATGAACGAGAGCATCGACGCCGTGATCGTTCCTGAGACGCGGTTACCAGAAATAGACATTCCATTCACCATGGAAGAACTGGAAGGTGCGTTAGTCGCTTCTAAGCACATGTCATCGCCAGGTCCTGATGGTATTACTTATAGTGCGTTAGGACACCTTGGACAAAAAGCCAGAAAAGAACTTTTAACATGCTTCAACAACTCCTGGCTCAGCGGCAGTGTTCCCCAAGAATGGAAAATAAGTCGATTAATACCACTTTTGAAATCGGGAAAATCACCATTGGACTTGACAGCGTATCGCCCTATTGCCCTCGCAAGCTTCCTCAGAAAAGTGATGGAAAGAATGGTTCTATTTCGTCTCGAGTGGTACTTGGAACGATACACCAAATACCCTTCTTGCATGGCAGGCTTTCGTCGGGGCCGCTCCTCCATCGACTGTGTCCTTGACTTATCGACAATTGTGCAACAAGAAAAAAGTTGCAAGCGCATATCAGTGGCACTCTTTCTTGACGTTAAGGGTGCATATGATAATGTAGCTCACGATGTGATCCTCACTTCTCTCGCAGCAATGGGCATTAGTGGACGAATGTTTCAATGGATAAAAGATTAGATAACTGGCAGGGGTTTCTTTGTACAAACATATGAGGGTACAACTGCTCAATATTACACCTACTGCGGAGTACCTCAGGGAGGTGTTTTAAGCCCCACATTGTTCAATGTTGCCCTAATTGGTCTGGTGAAGGTTCTGCCAAAGTCGGTGTGCCTATCCATATACGCCGATGATATTTGCCTCTGGAGTGCTGCAGTTACTCGCCCTCAGGTGCGTGCACGAATACAGCGGGCAGCAACCCTCACAACAGCCTATCTTCAGAAACAAGGCCTAAATATATCAACGGTGAAGTGCGCGTTAAGGGCGTTTACACGCAAACCAATGACGCCATACCTTGTTTACATCAATGGGCGGAGTGTCAAATATGCACGGACGCATCGTTTCCTGGGCATAATAATCGATAGAAGTCTTTCGTGGAGCCCACATTTTTCGTACTTGAAGAAGAGACTGCTATCTATTCTGCATATAATGAAATTATTGTGCGGGAAAGCATAGGGAACTTCTGTGACCTCCATGCTACAGCTGTACAGGGCCCTATTTCTGGGTCTATTGCGCTACAGCTTGCCGGTACTGACTAACACTTGCAAATCGAATACTCATTCATTGGAGAGTTTGCAGGGTCAAGCACTGCGTATCTGCCTAGGACTGCCCCGATGTGCTTCTACTTATGCCACAATCATGCTTGCCAAAGACCATCCGTTCAGGACATATAGAGTTGTGGTTTGCCTCAGAGCGCACATTCGACATGCTAGCCGTGTCCCCGACCACCATTTGGCCCTTCTACCCTCCGGACGACCACGTGCTACGTTTTCAGACGTCATAGCCAAGCGCCTAAACAGCATTCCATCAGGATATACGCCAGCTGCGAGAATGACATGTCCTTTGTGGTGCCTCGACCAGCCGCAAGTACGTCTAGAAATTCCAGGAATCAAAAAGAAAAGCAATCACTCCAGAGTAGCATTGAAGCAAGCAACACTGCTATTATTACATGAGTTGTACTTAGACCGAACGCAGATATACACTGATGGGTCCGTCTCGTCCAGCAGCTCATCAGGTGCCGCTGTAATTCCGGCTGCAGCAATGACAATCAAGTTTAAGTTGTCGCATATGACTACATCTACGGCATCAGAGCTTGCTGCTATAAGGGCTTCTTTACAATATCTCGTTCAAGAGCGCCCAGGAAAATGGGTCCTATTCTGTGATTCGAAGGTGGCGCTTCAGAGTTTGCAGTCTGCCATGCGTAGGAGGAGTCATGACCAATTGGTACAAGAAATAAGACATTGCCATCATGAAGCTCTAGCACGAGGGCATGATATTATATATCAATGGCTGCCTGGACATATCGGTATTACCGGAAATCAATTAGCCGATGATGCAGCCCGCTCAGTCCATGAAGGAACCCGTGTAGTCCCGATTCCTCTATCAAGGAATGATGCAGCAAGACAACTTTACCTGCTGGCTCGAGATCTCACACGCACGTTCTGGTCGTCTACCAGCTTCCAAAGGTGTCAATTTTATGAACTGTATCCTTCGCTCAAGCTAAAGCTACCATCACAACTTTCCCGCTCCGATGCGACACTGTTATGCCGCCTTTGGTTGGGTGTTGCATTTACAAAGGTGTACTCCTTTCCCATTGGTATGGCAGACACTCCTACATGCGACTACTGCGGAGCTGAAGAGACCATTGAACACGTCCTGTGCAGCTGCGCTTGCTACGACACACAGCGATGCCAGCTCAGGATGGTTTTGAATCAACTTGACCCCGGACCATTTTATGTGCAGAAGATACTAGGACCTCGGGCATCTACCTCAGTTGCGCAGAAAGCAACTAAAGCACTGCTACTTTACCTAGAGTCAACAAACCTGAGCAACCGCCTGTAGATTGTGTGTGCTCCCCGAGTGTGCTCGTGATTGTGTGTACCTTCTCATCTTTCTGCAACCTCTTTTCTCCCCTTTATCCCTTCCCCAGTGCAGGGTATCAAACCGGATGTGCGTCTGGTTAACCTCCCTGCCTTTCCTTGCATCTTTATCTCTCTCTCTCTCACACACGATCGTCGAAAAACTGGTGAGTATAACACTTCAAGCCGTCAAAGTAAAATGTGATATCTGAATAATTAGCGTCTGACTAGGTGTACGATGACGAAAGGCGTCTCTTATACGTGAGTGCACAGCAACTGTTGCGTCATCATCACTGAACAACACTTTTTAAACACAAGTCACAAAGAAATTGAAGCGGTGGTAAAAATAAAATCAATTGTCAAGCACGTGCCGTCATCTGCGAAGTGACACGTGAAATATATAGCTTGAAGACGAATGGTTATATTTCCAAATACTCATTGGGACACGTCTTCAGAGGACGAGCCAAATGGTTTGGGAACAGCTCGGCAAGGACGATCTGTGCTCGCCCAAAAGGTTTGAAGGTTTAACACGCTCTTAATCCTAGGTTACGAAAGAATGTTTGGCTACTTATCGCTCACAATCTCCGCTTCTTTTAAAGTACCGCCTGACAATATCACGTAAGCTATTTAGGAAGGCTCGCAACGCACAATTTGTTTAGTGACACCGCCGCCTCTTACCCAAGGATGTGTATGGTGAACATAGAAGTTGTAAATAGGCAATCAAGTTCAGGCGGCTGCTTACAACTCCCTCGAGCATGTTTAAAAGTCGAAATTCAAACGTCCAGAAGAAGTGGCGCTTGTCGTGGTTCTTATAAAGACTACTCGGAACTGCACCCAATTTTAGGAGACAAATGTGGGCGACTACGATGCCAAGGTGTCGCCGACCTTAACTCACATTTTCCTTTCCGTATGCGGCTTTACATGAACTTTTAGGACACACTATTTCAGTTGACTGAATGGCTCAGCAAAGAGCATATCTTTTTTTTATGTTTTCTATATAAGTCGGTGAACGATATTTCAAAGTTCCTCGTTTGAAACATGAATCACAAAGTACACAGTCACCGAACGCTTCCCCGGAATTCTAAGAAAATGATGTGAGCGTGAAGAGGCATTTTACAATCACTTGTGTATATTATCGCTATGTAACCTTTGTACTATTTACAAGAAAGTTCGTTCTGGTTTTGAGGATAAATGGGAGTCCAGTCTATGTCACCTTTATTTTAGATGTACGATGTTAACGTCGTCAGATTTTACAGCTTATTTAACCACGTCTGCTGCTACCAGACTATTTTCTTCTTTGTGCAATCACGGATTTTCATGTAGGTATTACTATACCTTATACACTGCTTACACTTCGTTTTTCATTAGTTCACCGATATTAAAAAAGTCATTATTAGTACTCGCATAAAAATTTAAGTGAGCCTACTGCATGGTTTTCTTGAACACAACTTGCGCATTACTGTACAGAACTAGACTTAAGTAACAATATTGGAAGTGCTGCTAGACGGTGCTTGTTGATTCTTGAATAAAAACAGCGCACACATAACTTTCAAAGAAACATAGACAGAGAATACACGCAAGGCTACTAAAAGTAAGTCCCTCGAAGACACGTAACGCTGGCACATTGGTCCAACTATATCCGCACGAATTACTGTACCCTATGTGGCAACATGATAAATAATAATATCAGGTGTTTCGAGTACTACAACCTCGACATGAATATGCGAGACGTCGTAGTGAAGGACTCCGGAAATTTTGACCGTCTGGTGCCCTTTAGCGGGCACTGACATCGAACTGTACATAGGCATCTATCACTCCGCCAATATCGAAGCCGCGACATGATCGCATTCACTCTTTACAGCCTACTATATTAGTTTTCCTTCTATTTCAGCAACGGGGAAGAAAAACTCACTACACACTAAATGAGAACGACAGCCGATGGTTCGCTGCCTATAGATTACAGGCCTTACAATGCTTCCTGGAAAAAAGATGTAAATGTGAGGCGGAAACGCATAGAGGTTAACTCTGTGTGAGGTGAAGTTTGAATATCCTTATTAGTGGCACAAGTAACGAGTGACACTATCTGCTTTTCGTTGTTTTTACGCTGCCCTGTCATGTGCAGGTGCGAGTATTCTGGAAACCACGTCTCCCTGGAAACAGATATGAAAGTTAGGCCGAAAGGCAGCGAGGTGAGTTTTGAAGATCTTTATTAGTGGAACGAGAATTGCCGATAAGTGACACTTATCTGCAATTTTTTCCTAATTTCCCAGTGTTATCGCAGGTGTGAGTTCTTTGGAAACCACGATCAAACTTAGGAAAGATGTTGCCGCGACATCTTGCCCGATTTGAAACAACGCGCCCATCACCGCGCGCACAGGACACGCATGCGCGCTTTGTTGTGCCACGCAGAAACGATGATGGCACGAGCATGGAGTTTCCTAATATTAACCAGATGGGACTCTGGCTTTGCGATCATTCAGCGACCATGGCAATGATGGGTGGTAGTACACGGATTTGCCTCATCTTCGTACTTGCGAGGGGTGAATGGCACTTGTGGCTTCATTTATTGCTGTGTTCCGGTTTTTTTTTTTTTTAGAAGGAAAGAGCGAACCCTTTTGAACTTCGTGATCCGATTCGAAAAGGTAAGCCTAAAATAATAAGGTGGTGGAGCGCAACTGCTGAACAATTGTTCATTTTGTTTTGTGAGAAAACAGCTTCAAGCCACACGAACACACATGGAGCCAGAAATACGAAGATTAGAAAAATCCGTTTGTTACCCATCATTTCCATGCTCGCTCAAGTGCCGTGTGTTACAACTTCCATAAACACTAGCGCCAGAGTTCCCTCTAGTGTGTATTTAGGAACCTTATTGGGGACGAGCACCTGGCTGGACCCGGCTTATATGCACCACACGATCGGGACATCTCGCGCAGAGGAAGAAGTCGGGAAGCTCATCCATATAGAGGCACATCTTCGGTGTTCGACTGAAGCGTATACACGACCACAGTCACTTTTAGTTGTGGACACAGGTTCACCCTCTTATAAATACGTTAGTCTAATGCCCCGAGTGCTCCAACATCGCTACAATATAAAGGTGTTGAAATTGGTTAAAGTAATGCATGGGCAAGTTGGAACATACTCCTCACAATAAGCGCGCAAAAAGGACAAAAAACACAAGAAAGTGCACGACACAAGCACTGTCCAACAAATGAGAGTTTAATTTGACAAACTTGTCTTATGTACGCAAACCTGCATTTCCGATGGAGGCGGAAATGTTGTAGGCCCGTGTACTCAGATTTGGGTGCACGTTAAAGAGCCCCAGGTGGTCTAAATTTCCGGAGCCCTCCACTACGGCGTCTCTCATAATCATATGGTGGTTTTGGGACGTTAAACTCCACATATCAATGAAAACCCCACAAATTAATCAGTTATGTACGCAAACATGAAGGCATAAAAAAAGTTGGACGCCCCCCCCCCCCCTCCCCCAAGCACGTCATCAAGTAGGCTGTAGATATGAAATCTCGGCATCTGTAAGAGCAATTGAAGGTTGGCTCACGCACCTGCGCAGCTGAGTGCCCAGATTTTTTTATGCCTTCATGTTTGCACATATATGACACGTTTTTTTCATTAAACTTTCAGTCACATGAAACTAGTATCTAAGGGCATGTGCGGTTGGATTTCAAGTTAGGTATAGTTAGCATTCATCTCAACTAACACTAATAGACATAAATATCCTTAAGTATTACCGAATGGGTAAATAGTACTTCGTTTTTTTTTTCTGGGCTTGGCTTTACTGGGCTCAAAGGAAATTCGACTGATTGATTGGCCATGACTAGGTTTAACATATGTAGGCTATTATGCATGGCTATACTAAATGACACCATGATCAATAACGTCTAATTAACTTTGGCTATACTTACCTTTGCTGATCTGGGCTTAACTTCACTTAACGTGAAAACAGTGAACTGAAATAGCCTAATTAATCATCATCGTTACCAGCCTGACTACGCCCACTGCAGGGCAAAGGCCTTTCCGTTGTTCCGCCAGTCAACTCGGTCCTGTGCGCTGCTGCCACTTTACAGCCGCAAACTTCCGCATCTCACCTGTCCACCTAACTTTATGTCTCCCCATCACCCACTTGCCTTCGGAACGAATCCAGTCAGTTACCTTTGATGACCAGTGGTTATCCTGCCTACGCGCTACGATCCCGGCCCACGTCCACTTCTTGATTTCAAATATGATATCCTTAACTCCAGTTTGTTCTTTGATCCACTCGGCTCTCGCCTTGTCTCCTAATATAAAATATCATCATCAAACGCCGGAAGAAGAAGTGAAGTAGCACGCCCTCGCTCCAGACAGCAGTCTTCTTTCTTCTTCTTCTTCCGGCTGGTGTCGTGATCGTACAACGGTTAGTGCCTTGCGTTGTGGCCGCAAAAACCCACGTTCGAATCCTGGTCACGGCACCATTATTAAGATGATCGAGACCAGGGACTTCTAATAAACCGTATTCGTTCGAAGCAGTCCCTGGTCTCGATCATCTTAATACTTAAGGTTACCCCTATCATTTTCCGTTCCGTCGCTCGCTGCGTTGTCCTAAATTCAAGCTGAACCCTTTTTGCAGGCCCTATTAGAATCAGCCTGATTTACCTATCATATCCTACTAATGCTTGGCTTTGTTACGTGGTACAATGCTCAACTAGACTTGATTAGTTTAGACTACGCCTACTTCGCCTCAACTATGTTCACCGAAATTTAGCTTGGTGAAAATCGAACTCAAGAAAGGCAAACCTAGTTAAGAAATCGTAATTTGGTATGCTTGACTTTATTGGGTTATATGTAGCCTAGTTGGGCTATAATTAGGCAGTGCAAGAAACAGCGTGAGACTGACGCTTCAACACCCTCCTCCAATGCCTCTCTACCGCGCAGCCGCTAGTATATATAGATATGAAAGAACAGCACAGATTCGACGGAGCGAAGTAAGTGGTGTATCTATTTCTTTTGGCCATGAACGTCGTAACCCATCATAAAGAGCGACGGGAGGAGCATACCCACCGTAGCAGGTGCCACGCCAGTAGATGGTGCGTTGATGCATTCTGCCACGGGATCTCGTGGTCTGCACACTCTTTCTCCCGCCTCTATAGAAGAGCCTTCAGCGTTTGTGCTTCTAACGAAAATGCGGCCGCCGCGGCCGGGATTATATCCGGTGACTTGTGGGTCAGCATTCGAGCAGCACAGCCACAGTGGCGAGTAACCATAACCCTAAATTGCCGACCTCACTTCAGTCATTCGGGAAAGCAGCATCAACGTGTTTCGCACATCCCGACGCAATATGCGCTTCTAGAATGGCGCATAATATATGGGAAAGGCCTTCTTTCAAATGGCAACGTTCGCCGTTCGCTGACGTTCTGCTATCGACCCCCCTCCCCTTGCTCCTTCGCAGTTTTGGCCCTCGCGGGAGAATAAGAGACTAATTTGTTACGCGGCCCCTCCGAGTTTGATATCCCTGCTTTCATAACGAACCAACCAACGAAAGCAAAACAAAATATCACCGTCCAAGCACTCCGTACAAATGGTTAGCCAGCGAAAGCTTAAACATTCGGTCTTGGTGTCTAGCAGTGGCTGTAACCCAAGGAGGTTTTAAAAAAATTGCTGGAGTGGAAGCTCCCCCAATGGTTTGCCACCAGACGTGAAGACAGCTTTTGCCCTTTAATATCTCAGAAACATACTGTTTCCTGGTGGTGCCCACTCAGACATCAAATGCCTTTGATTTGTTAGTCTAAATGCTACGTTACTTATAAATTAAAAGATGGTTGTTTCCGAAGAAATAATCTGACTTGATCTTGTTTCTGAAGAAATAACCTGACTAAATTATGTGACCTAATCTCCAATGAAATTTGTCTTTATTTAGAGGCTAACTTAAGAAAACTAGTAACACAAGGACGCACTTTAGGCACTATTTCACCCTAAAAGGTTGCCACGTTAAGCTCGTTGGGTCTGCGAAAAAAACGCTCCTTCTCAACCACCGAACGCCAACAGCTAATCATGCCCCTAGTAAGATGGCTGCCGCAGCCGCCCTCTTACGGTTGGCACGGCTTCACTCATGGGCATAAATTTCTACTCCAGCAATTCTTTTCTAAACCTCCTTGATTCAACCAGGTGTGGCATTGAATCCTTCCGAAATGATTGGTTGCATGTTCATGCTTCATAATGAGACACACATTTGGCTCGTGTTTACCGTGTTTACTGTCGGCGATCTTCTGGAGTTGTCCGTGGCACACCCATATAGAATGTTTCAGGGGAGAAACTGATGCGCACACCCTGGGCGCCACGACTGCGACGAAATGAACGACGTCATTCACAACGCAATCAATGGCGTGTGTGCTTGAGTACGACACTGCGAATGGCCTGAGTGATAACGCAGTCAACGGAGAGCGCTCGTGACACTATTGCCAGATGGCTTTCCGTTACTCATAGCTTTCTCTGTACAAGAAGGGAGTGTGGGAAGTAGGAGGGTTTTGCTCCGAAATTGTTGGCATGGAATCATCAGTCCACTGACTGCCTTTGAGTGAGCCGTTACTCACAGGGCCATCACGCCATGCAGCGAAAATAACAGAAGGCTCGCTGTCCTTTGTTACAATTACAATGATTTACTGTACGTTAACCAAAGCTAAAATATACACGGATGATAATCACTTACCGGTCGAAAAACCATTCAGCTGACTCCCGACGTGCTATGTGAAAGGCAGGCGAAAATGACGATGTACTCAGATGCACGTGTTCCGCTTTGCATAATACTGACAAGGTATTTTGCTTCGGTGAAGTAGCAGCTTTGTCAAGTCCGGCAAAGTTCATGAACATGTTCGAACGCATCTGCTCTATCCATTAATAAAGCATCTGCATAACGCTAACGAGAACGAAAAGGGCAAGTTATGAGCATGCCATGCATGCGTAAGCTGCGCACATACCATGCACAGCAGCCGAAGTCTTCAACTGGAGTGCTCGAGCGGCAACGTTTTTGTACGCCAACGCCGTAAGACGGAGTCAAGTTGCGAACAGGGTAAGCGCATGCCCACAAAGCTCGCTCAGCCGGGCCCATCGTTTGCTGAAGCTGTTCCTTCTTTAACCCGTAAACCCATAGCAGTGCACTTCAACCGGACTACGTTGTACAATACTTATCTCATCAATGCGTGCTTGTGACGTATCTCTAGATGTTACGGTCATGACTTATCACTGCGACGTTCATCTTCGAAAAATAGCATGTGAGTAAGGCTATTCACCAACTCATGCTATCTGTTGGTCTGAGATGCGCTAATGTGGGGCGATATCCTTCACTAGGAAGAGCCAAGCACACCACGGGCCAACTGAGCAGGCTTTGTGGCCATGCGCTTACCCTCGCCCTCTTTGTAACTCGGCTCCATCACGATGCTGAAGCAAATAAAAGACCACAATGTGAGGGCAACAAAACATGACACCCCCTTTTTTTCTTGTAATACATGATGCCCCCCTTTTTTTTTCTTTTTGGTTGCCTGTCTCTCTTGATCCAATCTTGCGGTTCTTTGAAACTGTGAACATGATGTAGCTATGCATATGATTGATTGATATGTGGGGTTTAACGTCCCAAAACCACCATATGATTATGAGAGACGCCGTAGTGGATGGCTCCGCAAATTTCCACCACCTGGGGTTCTTTAAATCTGAGCACATGGCCCTACAACATTTCCGCCTCTATCGGAAATGCAGCCACCGCAGCCGGGATTCGATCCCGTGACCTGCGGGTCAGCAGCAGAGTACCTTAGCCACTAGACCACCGCCAAGGGGCGTACCTATGTGTATATCATTGAATGGAAAATTGAATACAAAAGTAGAACGCAAAGGTTGGGAATAAACTGGGACAGAAAAGATGCCCGTCATCGTAACGTCAGTCACACCCCTCCAGCGCAACGACACCGGCTCTAGCGGATATTAAAAAATGAAAGGACTATCTCACTGACGGAACTGAGCCACGCCTGAGAATGAAGCAAAGTGCATGTCGGAAATGACGAGGGCATCACTGTTAGTCGTTTGAGTGACACAGGGTCGATTATCGTGACTCACAAGAGTCAGTCGGTCCTACTTTGACCTTTTAGATGCCATGCAAGCGACCGCAGCACCGTTTTTCTTTAAGTAAACATCTGTGTTGTCCTGGCGTAAAGAGCAGTCCTGGCCACAAGCGCAAACAAACGCTGCCATTTGGAAAAAGGACTTTTTATATCTAGTAAGTGGGTCGTTTCTTCTGAAGGAGATTTGACGTCAGGTTTCCGGAGACATGTCGATAGTGACCTCCTGAAGTACCTGAAATATGGACACTGGTTCTGAAGTCTTAACTCATTGGACAGACGTGGGGGGGACGCAAAACAAAAATACTTAAGGCCAGGCAGGTCTACGGTGCTCGGTAATTTACTAATAAATATAAAAGTTATGGCACAAAGACAGTCATGTGCAGGCTGTGCCGCAAGCAAGAGGTGAGCTGGCCACGTATTTGCAGCCACTGCTGTAAGTCGCAGTGAAATCACTGCATTACGTGGTTAATGTACAGACGGGTCCACCGCTAAAGGGAACACCTGTGTGAGCAGCATGTTTACATTTCGTGATCTTACGGAATCATAGCGTCTCAGATATGCATAAGGCTACTGGTGGTTAAAAGTTCCGACACCTCTTGACAGACTATTGACTTGCATGAAGATTGTTTCTTAATCCATTTGCTCTTAGAGGGCCAAAAATATTGATGGTGTGCTTTCGAGTGTTCCCTTTACCAGTAGACCATGTGCATTCGCATCGCCTATTGCTGTCCCCGCCTTCACTTCAACGCTTCTTTGCACCCTTCCCTTTGTGCAGTGTCGTATAGAGTAAAGCCTACTAGTTCAAGCCAATCATTCCACCTTTTTTTTATCAATGATCGCTCTGTTTATCTCTGGCTGCATTCCTACGGAAATATCAATACGAGGGATTACGGCATATGCTACACCTTGAACGCAGACGTTACGGAACCATGAAATTTGTCGCGTATAGCCAGGAGGAAGGGGGGAGGAATCGAAACATTTTTAGTTCTTTTTTTTATTTTGCTTCAGTATATGCATAAGCACACAAACAAACGCACGCAAGAACATACATGAAGTATAACTGAACCCCCCCCCCCAAAAAAAAAACAAAAAGAAATCCTGGCTATGCCCCTGCATCAATCACCGGCCACTTCTATTACTTCAGAAAGTGCTAGCTGCATGAGCTCGAATCAAGCGAAAAATAAGACATAATTGATTGATATGGGGGTTTATTGTCCCAAAACCACCGTATGATTATGAGAGACGCCGAAGCGGAGGGCTCTCGAAATGTCGACCACCTGGGGTTCTTTAACGTGCACCCAAATCGGAGCAAACGGGCCTACAACATTTCCGCCTCCATCGCCAATGCAGCCGCCGCAGCCGGGATTTGATCCGACGTCCTGCGGGTCAGCAGCCAAGTACCTTGGCCACTAGACCACCGCAATAAGTCATACTTTACAACTATGTTTCAGATAGCCACGTATTTATTGCGAAACACATAAAAAAGAACACAAAGATAAAATTTGACGTGTCGAAACCTAAAATATCACTAGGCCAACCAAACAATGTCGGGAATATCAGATGTAACATTGCATGCTGAAGTGCTGCGAAATTGTCTGCATGCGTTTTTTTTTTTTCGCGCACTGCTTCTCTTTCATTATTCAGATAATGTCCTTCGAAGAAGACGTTCCCAGATAAATCAAAGCAATTAGATGCCTGTAAGTCGAGCAATCCGTCATCCCAGCCGGCACACTTGGTATTCCGGGATTTTTAAAAAGCTCTACTTGAAATCAGAAAGTGCCAGCCATGTTGCCATTCGAGAAAATATATATAAGCCTAAATTTTTCTTTTTCTTTTTACGTTGCAGTGTACACTGATTGCTTCAAATTTTAATGTTTATGCAAAAAAATACATTTTGTGTTTACGATGAAACATCAATGTTGGCAAAAAAAAACAGCGCGTATGAAGATATAAAAGTTCGAGCATCAACCGAACACCAGCACTTTTCGCAACCAGCACGATTGAAAGAGATCAGCTGTTACCGTCTCACATAAGACTACAGTGGCTAGAAAAAGTTCCATATTATAGTGACTAGAAACCTTTCTAGCCATTATAACAAGACCTCTCACGCAGCTTTCTCGACAGGCTTTCGCTTGATGTCTATGTCGTTGTCCTGTTCCGGGAGTTGCGCGAACGGTGGCCGAAGCGGGGAGCTCAGCAGCGGATTTCCGGGCCGCTTGCGACGGTTGAAGTTGAACAGGGGTTCCCTGTTTCCGAATAGGCTCAGCAGCAGTCCTGGCCGCCTACGGTGAGCGGCATCCAGCTGCAAGTTGAAGATGGCTGGCACGTTGAGTCCCAGGCCCGTGCCAGCGGGTCCAGTGAGTAACCGCATGTTGAAAATGTAAGGTATGGCAATGCCTAGGTTGAACGGGAGCAAAGGATGACGAACTCGTGTAATACCGGTCTTCTTTGGAGGTACCGCCGTCTTTTTGTTTCTTTGTCGCACGGTGGTGACGTCGGGAGTGCTTCGGCCCTTGTGTCACCGCTTTCTTGGTCAGCTACGACTGGCTTCGTCGTGACCTCATCGCCTAGTACCTGCAAAACATACGACGGAAATCAGTCACGTGTAATCCGCTGGTTAGGTGGGCAATTTGGTTTTACGCGATGAGTACCAGAACTTTTGTGGGCCACAGGCACGATATGACTGTGAGGCATGTGGTATAGTGAAGTACTCCAGAAATTTCGACCATCTGGTGTCCTTTGACGTGCACTGGCATTGCATTGTACCGGGGCATCTAGCATGCCTCCACCAAAAGTCAACCGCTGCGCCAAGAAATCGAACCCACGACCTTCGGCTCAGCAGCCGATCACCGTAACCACTACAGCTCCATGGCGGACGATTTAAGGGAAACGGCCCAGTGGCCTCAGCCCAGCGGGAGATAGGCCGGCGCACGAAGGGGGAAGATGGGGCGCCACTACCCTCCCTCTATACTAAGCCGGAGTGAAGGACTCGCTATTCAAGAACTGCAAATTATCAATCAAGTGTGCGGCTTATCTTCATGCAAGATATCAAAACCACAAAAAAAAATATCATATCAGGAAAGAATAAGAATCGTTTTTCAATTATATGCTAGAGGCTCTTTCGAAATGGTCCGCACCGCTCTATATATCGCTTTCGGACAGGCCGTAAAGCATGATTTCCGCTATCGCGGTCACCTAAGCTCAAATATTTGATGAAAACTGAACGCAAGCCAATATTACGCAACAGTTGGGCCGTATGTGGAAACTGCTTCTCTGGCATGTTGCAGAGATTGCGAAAGAAATATTTCGCATGCACCCGTAAGTGCGCTTAGTCTGGTATCCCCATAAATTATGCTCGCATTCTAATACTCTTTTGTGCTTTTGAAAAGCTGCAATGACTAGTCATCTAGTGAGTATCGCGACATTTTATACCATCCAGGGTCGGGTCCAGAAAAACAAATAATTTCGTTATCGCGAAAAACATTTAGATAATCTAAACTCCGCGCTTGCAATCTTTCTTGTAGTACAAATAACAACGCTCTCGCACAGGATGCTTCGTGATGACTGCGTTTAAACGGCTAACAGGTGCAATCTAACGGAAACGTTCCTGAGTACATAAGATAGATATCAGATGGAAGAGACTAAACTAGATTTGTTTTGGAAATGGTACTTTTCCGCAGTAGCCGCTCAGTGACTTTTCGCTTAATTAACTGCAGCCGCATTGTAGCAAGTCCAAAATGAATTGGCCTGTAGATACTTAGCGCAATATGTTTGCAACCCGGCCCCATAAAGCGAAGTCTCCAGCATTACGTAAAGTGGCAATATTACTGGAAATAATCACCTGCCTATAGATATATGGAAATATTATGATTATTCCAGAGCTAATGCATTCATGCGCTTCACTATCCCTTAAATCAACGCATGCGCAAGCACATATAATACAGTAGTCTTGGCACGAATAGCTCCAATAAATGAATAGATGTAAGAACCCTTGTTTGCGCATTGGATATGAATCGTCAAAGATTTATTCTAAAGCTCTTTTAATTAAAAGTACACAAGGAATGCGGAAGGTATACCGTTACATCTTCTTAGCGGCAACTCCTGCGCAGAGCGGAATACGCTTTGAAATGAATCTTGAAAAAGAGTGCAGGAACGCCTTTAGTGGCTACGGCACATCGCTGATGGAACAAAAGAAAGATGCCTGTGGTGCTGACCTGAACCAGGAGAACGGCCGCTGCAACGAGGAGCAGCCACGAAGCTGAGCGTGCTGAAACCGGCTGCATCTTGCGAGTGTCCCTGCGGCGAGTGTTCAAGCCGGCAGCAAGAACGGGAGACTCCGAAGCGGGTGTGGTGGGGTCTGTGGACGTATCGAAGCGAGGGTGTTTTTCGCGGGGGGTGGCACCGCTTCCGAAAAAGCTACAAACCGGCTCTGCTCGCCTTACCCTCGGCAGCTCCTCCTCGCCTGGCCCCCCCTCCCCAAAACACCATCCACCGGGCTTCGTCACCAAATAGATCAGCCGCACTAACTGCACTGCTGGCGTGCACGTCAAGCGATGCCCCCCCATCCCCTCTCATCTATCCTCCTCAGCCTTCCCCTCACCTTCTCGCAGCCACTAACAACACACCTTGACCTCAGTCCCGACCACCGAGACTGGTGTAGCCAGGGCGCTTTTGCTTCCATCGCTGGGCCGGTCAATGCAAAAATAAACACTGCGCTGTTTGTCCCTTCACTCGGGCGACAGTTGGAAGAGTGTTATCATTCAAAACCGAGAGTAGGAAAAAAAAGAAAAGGAAGATATTACTACGAAGGGGTTCTGCTGGTAAACAAGTCGGCTGGTTAGTAGGGTTCGGAAACACACCTGCCACCGTAACTGTTTACGAATCTTGGAGCAAGTTTCTGCTCTCTCAACGAGCCGTGGTTTTCAGCCCGACGGCAAGGCGCGTGGCCTTGGGAATAAATTTGAATGAAGAGCCATGTTTTCGTGCTTGATTTGAATCTGCGGAGTGACTCAAGAAATGTAGCACGCCCGTTTGTAGCTAATCTCCGAACCTGTAAGAGTGTGAGCGTGTGTCGAGCAGCGTGCCAGGTTATGTACCCGCATGTCTTTCAGACGCACGTAGGATAAAGACATGAATCCACCACTGGCTGTATTCGTCAACATATTCACAGTGTCAAACTCGACGGCGTTAGGCTGGTATGATGTCAACAATTACCGCTCGGTGGTGCAAGAACTTTAGCTGCGAAGAGCTAATGTCGTAAGGTAACGGCGCCACAAGCAAAAGTGGCGAAAGCAGGACTTCAAGAATCCTTTGAAAAAAGCCAATATCCAATTAAAATATATATTAATTCTTCTTGCGAACCAAACGCATGACCAGCATTAAGGTACACCACATAGTGGTGAACACCACTTCAATTTAGACAGCCTTGGATAATGAAACTTGGCAAAGGAAAACGACTGATGTAACGTGTATAGGACACGCAACCGACGTGATGCCGGAGGCAGTAATAGTAAAGCGTAGGAACAGCCTAAGGTCACGTAGAGTCACGTAATGATTACGATGGTCAAGGAAACACAGCCGAGGGCGCCAGAGAGCTACGAGGTGCTATAATGAATTTGAGTAGTTCTCCGGCATAAAATTAAATAGGCTGGTGCAAGTCAGAGCCGAATGTAAATCATTGGGAAAGGTATTTCCTTTGATCCAAACATGTACTATGCCAAATAAGAACTTGTTCAAGATCGACGTACCAGCGCAAATGCACGAAACACTTAAAAAACACACACAGCGTTGTGTGTGTGTTTGTTTCCTAAGTTTTTCTTCTTCTGGCACTCTTAAATCTATTTTAATCATTAACCAACTCACCCAAGCAACAGTTTTAGCAAAGAACTTCTTGTTGGGCGAGTTGATGATCCCATGACATCAAGAGTTCTGTGCTAAAGAAGACAAGTGCATGTCTCCCCTCCGCCATTTTGCTTTCCTATAATATGCATGACTATATCATACTAGAAGATGTGTAGCACTCTTCCTTACTCTCACTTCTCTTTTCCAACCTGTTGCTATATTACAGAGAAAGTTGTTAAGCGATCACAACTCGGGTCACGCGCAGTTGTCCGCCGCTGCCACCGGTGTCCGTAACCAGATTATGCAAAATTAGAAAAAAGAAAACCTAGCACCCATGACACAGTGCGGTTCGAGCACGGGTCCATTTCGTGCCAGCCCAGTATACTACAACTGAGCTATGCCTACCGTGTCTAGAAATATTTCTAGACACTGTACTATGCCGATGCTTGTGACTTGTTGGCAAACTTTCCTTAGGCAGGCTTGATGTCGGTAATGCAATCGCGTTAATACGACTTTTATAAAGCGTTTTAAAAAAGCGAAAGAAGGACCAGTCGTCGCACAATGCGAAAAGCGTAACAAGTGGGTCGTGTTATGCTCCAGCCCACTACAAGGGCTTGTTCTTGTTCACCTATTAACTGAGGCGTATACCCACTTCAGGCATTATTCCTCATCGTTAGGAATTATGCCTTCAGGCATAATTTCTAACGATAAGGAATTATGCCTGAAGATAATTCCTAACTGCTGCAAGCAAGTGTGCTTGCAGCAGTTACCCACTAAGTGTTCAGAAAAGGCTCTGAAACACCACCTTTCTAGCTTTCGCTATGACTGTGCTGCGCCTTCTGCGCAGGACTGGCGTTTTTTTATATAATTAAGTCTAGTAGATAAATGTCATACAGAGCGACCATTTCTGAGCTCAAGTACAGGTGACATATTGCGTCCGACTTTGTGCAGCATCACGTACAATTGAAATCACAACGGTATTGGGGGTTTCATATCGGCCAATAGCTGAGCACCGTAACATGTCATCTCTGTATCTACAAGCAATGCATGTTATCATATCTATATCGCAAGATTACGGATTTAGTGAGCACGACACTAATGGGCAAAAGTAATAGGAACCCACTGTTATTCAATGAACAAGCAAATCGACCTTTTATACAGAGGTTAATGTATCTTACGAAATAAAAATGCTTCAAAAGAACTGCCGTAGAAGCTGCCACAGATATTGTTTCTATTATTGCATCTAAAAACCTGTGATTAATCCCTGCTGCGGCGGCTGCATTTTAGATGGGGGCGGAAATGTTGTAGGCCCGTGTGCTCAGATTTGGGTGCACGTTATAGAACCCCGGGTAGTCGAAATTTCCGGAGCCCTCCACTACGGCGTCTCTAATAATCATATGGTGGTTTTGGGACGTTAAACCCCACATATAAATCAATCAATCAAACCTGTGATTACTATCGGGAGAAGATTATGATACAGATGCGCTAAATATTGCCATACCCAGTGCGAGGACACCTGCATCTCCGCGCTGTTATGAACACAGTCATCATCTCCCGTCCTAAAAGAAAGAACAGTTCCTTTCAGCGTACAAGGGGTCACCCTTCTTGCAACGAAAATCACCGGCGAAGCCAGGCGTAAGGCTTGCAACCTTGTTGCTCATTACCTTGCCATTCCAG